ACTGTGAGCGCAAGCTACATTAAAGTGATTATTACGTTTAGAATATGGATATTTTTCTTACAAAAACGCATCGATTTGCTACAGAAGGCCTTTGTTCACCCCTCGGAGCCTGTGAGACACTATTTTTTTATGGATGGGCGCTTTTTATTTAACTTCTTTTGGACTGATGCATGCAACACCCGCTGAGTGCCATTAAACAGCTTGAAAGATCAAAGACAATTTTTAATATAACTCCGACTGGATTCGTCTGAAAGAAGAAAGTCATATACACCTAGGATGACTTGAGGGTGAGTAATTTATGGGCTAATTTTCATTTTTGGGTGAACTAACCCTTTAAGGGCATTCAGGACAGCCAGTTGTCATAACACGTGACAAAGCGATTATTTGGATGTTTGAACAGAACAGCATGTGCTGACATTTGGTGCATCTAAAATCAGCTGTCTGTAAATAATGTCTTGAAGACACTCTGATATAAACAATGGAACAGCTGGATAAAAATAAATAACAGAGACGAATGGGATATATAAAGCCTTCTTAGACATCCCAACAATGAAATACACAAAAACATAAAATGCACATTGGTTTTAATAACTAGCAGGTAAATTAGCGGGTTGTTGTGGCGTGACCAACTTTATGACTTTTTATCAATTTTTGATAAGCTTTTTGTCAACGTTTTTAAAGTATTTTCATTTGTCTCTTCTAAACTGATATATTTTGTGAATTGCCAAGTGGCTACGTGAGAATAAATAATAAGCAACAAAACTTTTATCCTGATAATGCCAAAAAGCATCATAACACTCATTACTAATATTTGACAGTTATGTAAAGATATTTGTAGAAAACTTATATTAAGACCTTCATTCATCAAAATTTCTCTGTAAACTTCATTAACGATTTATTTTATAGTCTAAATAAGTATCTGAACAGCACGCGCGAGCAGAGTGCACGAATTATTATTAATTTCTATAACTGTCAGATGAAAAAGAGTTGTTAAAAACTCTTTCTTTCAAAAAGCGAAGATACAGACACATTTTTGATACAGTCTGCAGTGTGTTACATGTTTGAAAATCATTAAAACATACCGAATCTTCCCAGTTCTGTCTGTTGTAGGTGTTTGAGCCCAGGGACGTAGCCATATTACACGCACGACGTGGAATGACAACGACGTCACGACGTCACGCATCCTCTTTACAAAGCTGTTTTTGGGGAAAGATTGTATGTAATACTAAAACCAATAAAGTACTATAAAACTGGAAAAAACAGAACCAATTGGTTTATATGAATGATTTATTTAAAAATTATTAAAATATTAATAAAATAATTATATATATATATATATGTAGAGAGAGAGAGAGAGTACGGTGTAGATTTTATTTAATGTATTCGTGTGTTTGAAGTGTATAAACTTTTTTAGGACATGTAAATATTGAAATTAATATATAATTATTTTTAAATAATTCTATTATATTTTTGCACACAGGCATGCCGGTATATACATTAACCCAATTTTGTATTTAAATGCAATAAAAATACAATAATACAAATTATTATAACAAACAATCTAATGAATAAGCGCAAGTATTTTGAACATGGATAATTCGGATTATCCCATGAAATAAACTGCATGTCTTGTCTCTTTTTTAATATATAGAAATATAAAATAATAAAATTCTTGATAAACAATAACTTTAAAAAAAATATATATATATATATATAACTTAACTAAAATATACGTATAACTATTAGAATACTTTAAAACCTACAATTTCAACAAATCAGTTAAATATGTTTACTAAATGACATTTTTAATTGTTTCTTTCTATGCAGTTCTAACAGAAAGTGCAACCATAGGAAATAAATGGTTTTAGTCACATGACTATTTACATGAAATAAACCTACAATTTAATTTTCACAGCCCTGACAGAAAAACAGCTTTAACCAACTCTTCATCATCCATAAATCATATTTAATTTTAATCATATACATCTCTTACATGGAAAATTTACATTTATGATTATTGTCACGATAATGTATTTTAGTACAACCGAGTCATTTTAAGAGTGCACTTTAGTTTGTCACACACATGACAGTTGCTTTGGCTTATCTACTGGTCATTTCACACACAAGATAAAGCTTGAATAAAACAAACAATAAAAACAACCTGTGCATAATAAACACACAATTACAATGAACATGAAGCAGCAACCATCAATGAAACATAAAGACACATGTGGAAAGTATTCTGCAATGCTGTTACAGCATAATGATATGAGACAGGTCACGTCTATAATATACACCTGAAAACATCTGCCAAATACCCAACAAAATTAGATGAGAATGTAAGCTGTCTTAAAGTCAACATTAAAGATGAGGAAAGCATCATATAGACAGCATATGGCTTATACAGGTACATATTATAATCTCACAGGCTGTTTAAACTCAACACAGTCACTTATTCATGAAACACAAGCAAAACTAATTTGAGTAAATCATTCATAAAAACAGATTTATGAACCATTTGCACACATTTTGTAAGGCACTATTCTTCGTAAAGCTGCTTTAAAATAAGTTCAATACAAATATATAGAATTAAATAGAAAATTTAGCTGAACCAAAGTCTATTTTGCTAGTGTTTCTTGAATAAAGGACCAATAACAGTAGTTTTCCTAAAATACAAAACTTTCCTTTTTTTTTATTTACGTCCTGTTAACAAAGAGTCCAGAAAAAGGCTTCAGAACATTAAAATATCTACTGGAAGACATAATCATGAAATATTTCCCACTCTCCATCTAGTGTGGGGTGTGTGCTTCGCCCTTCATGGTGATCGTGAGGTACAAAATTATTGGCTTTTTTTTTGCCTGTGTGCGTTTTCCTCTCTCATCAACAACACTCAATGCAGCTGAGATGTCCAATTAATAAGGCACACTTTCCCCTGAGACAGTACATGATATTTCCCAAACACACACATACACAATGTAGCTACTGCCACTGAAGCAGTAGTTTAAAAAAACATTTTATAGAAAGGCCACAAACTTAAAAATGAAGGTTTGCTGTATTAAAGGAATAGTTTGCTTAAAATGTACTCAAGCCATCCAAGATGTAGATGAGTTTGTTTCTTCATAAGAACAGATTTGGAGAAATGTAGCATTACATCACTTGCTCAACAATGGATCCACTGCAGTGAATGGGTGCCGTCAGAATGAGAGTCCAAACAGCTGATCAAAACATCACAATAATCCACAAGTAATCCACACCACTCCAGTCCATCAATTAACACCTGGTGAAGTGAAAAGCTGAGTGTTTGTAAGAAACATTTATTGATTTATTTGATTTATTAACTTCAAACTGTCACCTCCTGGACAAATACCAAAAGTCCATAATCCATAATAACACTTTCTCCAGTGAAAAAGTCCATCCCCTGTCGTCCCCTCACATCAGAATTCACCGACATATTTGTTTAAAACTGTTTTGGACTGTTTTCACTTGTAAACGTTGCTTGATCTGTGCATTTTTCTCTTCTGTTTCAATTGAGCTGACTTTCACTGGAGAAAGCAATATGGATAGAGGACTCTTATCATATTTTAACTGGAAGCAATGGTTTGAAGATCAAAAAGATGGATTTGTATCTCACAAACATGGAGCTTTTCTCTTCATAAGACTTTAACTGATGGACTGGAGTGGTGTGGATTACTTGTGGATTATTGTGATGTTTTTATCAGCTGTTTGGACTCTCATTCTGACGGCACCCATTCACTGCAGAGGATCCGTTGCTGAGCAAGTGATGTAATGCTACATTTCTCAGGTGAAGAAACAAACTCATCTACATCTCGGATGAATATGGATAGAGGACTCTTATCATATTTTAACTGGAAGCAATGGTTTGAAGATCAAAAAGATGGATTTGTATCTCACAAACATGGAGCTTTTCTCTTCATAAGACTTTAACTGATGGACTGGAGTGGTGTGGATTACTTGTGGATTATTGTGATGTTTTTATCAGCTGTTTGGACTCTCATTCTGACGGCACCCATTCACTGCAGAGGATCCGTTGCTGAGCAAGTGATGTAATGCTACATTTCTCCAAATCTGTTCTTATGAAGAAACACTCATCTACGTCTGGGAGTGAGGATGAGTACATTTTCAGCAAATATAAGCAGAATAGCATGTCTGGCTTATCTACATCATCTTATTAGAAAAAATTGCACTTAAATAAAAGAGGAATATTATTTTGTCCTCAATAACCGCATTAGGTTGTGGATTTCTCTTCCCTTTCTCCTAAAATAGTCAAAGGCAAAAATGATGGTGTCAAAATGTAAGGACGTTTTCCTGAGGCATGATCTTTAAAGCTGAAGTCGAGTCGAGTAACACAGCTGATCTAGGGTATATAATCTTATTCTGAAAGGCATATAAAACTGATGCTACAGTATCAGTTGACAACAAGCTCTCTCAGGCCTCTTGTTTTGAACTAGGTCTTTTCAGTCATGGGACCCAGATCAGCTCTGTTACTCTGAAATATCTGAGGCACTTCCTCTGCTTTACATTTGGGTGTTGGAGTAAAGCTCATCGATCAGGTTCCTGAAGCAGTTCCTGAGATCAGCGCGTTTGGCTTTCAGGGTGGGCGTCAGGAGGCCGTTTTGGATGGAGAACATCTCGGTGTGAAGAGCAATGTCCTTCACCTGAGAAGTGAAGATGATGAAAAAGCAGTCATCATTTATTAAATCATTTCTTTATGCATTTTAATGCACTTAAAAATATTTAGGCCTAAATTTAAGATTTATATATGTGACCCTGGACCACAAAACCAGTCATAAGGGTAATTTTTTTTTTAATCTGAATAAATAAGCTTTCCATTGATGTATGGTTTGCTAGGATAGGATAATATTTGGCCGAGATACAACTATTTGAAAAATGGAATCTGAGGGTGCAAAAAAATCGCCTTTAAAGTTGTCCAAATGAAGTTCTTAGTAGGGCTGCCACTAATGACTATTTTTATTTCGATTAATCTATCGACTAATTTGTCGATTAATCGGTTAATCTAAACGATTAATTTCACACACACACACAAAAACAACAACAACAACAACAATTTTAAAGAACATTTTATTAAACTTGCAACTTTGCC